TATTTCAATACTAATAAGATTATTCTTATCCATCATATATTCTATTTGTAAATCCCTACATATTTAGAGATATGTAGCAGCAACTTAATCATCCAATGTAATACATAAATAATCATTTATGTATCTACACAATTCACACATGAGTAAAAATGCCTATTTCACACAATAGTTCATTTAACTCTTTTTTATCAATACATTTCCAAATCGTTTCTCATTTCATTTTTTGGCAACTATATCAATATTTCATCAATAATTTATCATCATAACCCATGAAAAACATGGTTTAGCCATTTAGGTAATCTCATGTTTAACCTACAAGTTGTAAGCAACTAGATGTCGATCCTCACCTCAAATGAGCTTTAAAATGATCTTTCTCAACCCAATGCTCAAGCTTCGGCCAAGGGAGTTTGAGAACTGATTCCTTGCTTATAAATGAGTGTTAAACAGCCTCCTCAATGTGCTAGCTCAACACCTAGACGAAGACACGAAAACAGTCCCTAGAACGGGTGTTTTTCGGCGAATTCGTTACCTAACCTTTCAAGGTGTGTCTAGGTTAGTATCTAACCTTTCCAACAATTAAAGTTGATTTATTATAAAATTTTATACACTTAAATCAGTTTATAATAGTTCTTCAATTATTTATAAGATTTAGACAAAAGAGAGGAAGGTTTTGGATTCAAACTTTGAATACAAAAAACATATTCTGTGAGGTTGCATTTTGTTCGGACGATTTAATGGCCTTAAACTGCTCCCTTATCTTCAAACCGCACGTCTATGGATTCCTCTTTTCTATATCTTTTAGTGTACACCTCACACGCCCTTATTGGATGAGTAAAACTCGAGATATGGGTCGAACAAGAAGACCTTCGCACCAGAAATCCTCCCTGCGGCCAGAATGTTTTCTCCCCCTTTTTATGTGTTGTGAGCTCTTATCCTCTCCTCCCAAGATAAGAGTCCGACTGGAGGTTGTGATAAAGCTCTAGGATCTCCATGATAACTCATGTGTGGTTCACAAAAAGAAAGGGTAGGGTGTTTGATTCCAATCAAACATGGGATGGTCCCCCTCTTTTATTTCATTTTTTGTATTGTTTGAGCTCTCAACTCAATAGGTCCACCCATTTATGTGTTCTAACTTATTCTACCTGTTTTACAGGTGCTAGGAAGGTGTTGGTCGTCCTCTTATGTCCCCTAATTAATGTGGGAGCAAAATATCTACCAATGCTTCCCGGATGCATAACATATGCCGATGAATGAACCTCCTCTAGAATGGACTTTCGGAGCTCATCATTCAATGGTACGCACACTCGATAACGGAATAACAAGAGACCAGTATCTCTTTCACAGAAGTCCTCTACCGGCCCCGCTAGCATGCGTTCTCGGACCTTCTTGACCTCATTGTCAAGTTCCTGCCCCTTCTTGATCTCATCAAGTAAGGTATGTCTCACCTCAAATCTCTCCACCAAGGCACCATTAGTGGATACTTCCAATTAGGCTCTCAATGCCCTCAAGTTGGTTATCAATGCCCCCGATGAACTCTTCCGACTAAGGGCATCGACCACAACATTTGCTTTCCCTGGATGGTAATCAATCACTAGGTGGTAGTCCTTTATCAATTCCATCCACCGTCGTTACCTCATGTTTAACTCTTTTTGAGTAAACACATACTTCAAACTCTTGTGGTCAATGTATATTTGACATGTCTCTCCGTAGAGGTAATGCCTCCATATCTTTAGTGCAAAAACCACTGCTCCCAATTCTAAGTCATGAGTAGGATAATTTACCTCGTGCTTCTTCAACTGTCGTGAAGCGTAAGCAATCACCCTCCCATTCTGCATCAATACACATCCAAGCCCTTGGATGCTCGCATCGCTATAGACATCGTACCTCATACCTTGTTTTGGTAAGGCGAGTACCGGTGCCTCAGTTAACCTTTTCTTCAGTTCTAAGAATCCCTTCTTACATAAGATGTACAATTTGTACTCATCCTCATTTATTTAGATCAAGCCAACCTTCTACATCATATTATTGATCTCTAATATGTGTAGGATGGTCCCAATAATTTATATGATGTATAATTATAAAAGAAAACCATACTCCCATTATTTAGCCTAATAATGCCAAAAATGAGACCATAGGCATTTGTACTCTTCCCCAATCATTCTATCACTTATTTATGACATTAATATTCATGTGGGTGGGCTACTAACCGTGTGGGTCACCCTCCAGAGGGTCTAGGACGTCATTCTTGAATAATTGCTATTTTTAGCAGGTTAGGCCCAAAACAACATTTGGGTTGTCTGACCGCTCTCACATTGTACCGAGGGGTTGTATATCTTTATTTAAGAATGTTGGGCCCCAATATCAATAAGATGACCCAACTAATTATTTGGACATCCGTTACTATTATACGAGCCCAAACAGAAATACGATTAATCATACGTTACGTAAAATTTTAATCGTTTTACAATTGTTCGATAATATGGAAATTCAATACATAAGCTTTGGAATAAAATTTGAATTTCAAATACGTTCGGGTGCGGTGTCACAGGGTGGGGTAGGAATAAATAAGAAAAACAAAATTTTAAAAACCGACCCGACCCGACCCTGGCCGATCCTGGAACCTACCTGGGCCGGTACCGGGCCTCCAACTTCTAAATCCACTACCACCCAAGGCCCGACCCAGACCCGGGCCTGGTCTATCCTTAGAGTGACCATCAGTGAATGAGTAAAGGACCATCGATGTTATTCAGGGACCTAGAGAATAACAAATTTGACATAAAACTGACGAGGGAATAAAACCAAATTGTCCATCAACTAAAAGAGAGCTTGCATACCTATTGTTAGTAGCAATAACAGAGTAGGGATGCGTATTAAACGATGAAAAAATTGTATTACATAACACTGTACCTGGTCTTTTCTATGGTGGTGGAGTTGTCGAAGGTGCCGGAAAATAAGCCGGATGGTAGTAGCTCGTATTCCTAAATTTTTTAGTTGTAATTTTTTTAAATTTTTTATATGCAATATTGGTACAAAATGAAATATAGTAAAAAAATCAAAAATTTGATATATTTTTTAAAAAAAGTACAAAAATAAAAAGTTAAAACAATTGCAATATTATAACTAATTGCCTTGCTACATGGCAAGCAAATAGGGTGGGGTTATATTGATAAAAATATCTTTTGTACCCAATTTTGTACTCACTTTTGGTACACCCTATTTTGCCTGTGCACACATGTGATTCTTTAAGAAGAAAGCAACATTTTGTTTGTGTTTCTTTATGTACACAAAACAATAAAAAGTGAGTAAAAATGTTCGTACAAAAATGGATACAACAAGAAGCACTCTATATAGATAGGTTGAATAAAATTGATTTCAATCAAGTGAAATGTATGACCAATCGAACGGAATAAATTGTGGACCGAGAGGGGCTAGATGTCAGCAAATAGTCCGTGCATAGGGCCCTTGTGGGAGGTGTGTTACCTGGACTGCAATTTCGTGTACTGATTATTGTTGTACGGATTACTCATTATGCAGTATTATACGTACTACATACACAGGCACACATATGTAAACATATCGACTATTTTGTTTTGGATGAATGTTAATGAGTGTGCACAAATTATAGGGAGTATTTAAAATATACGGAGTATTAGGGAGTGTATTTTACGACTCGATCTCAAAATGTTTTGCTAAAAAAAAATTCAATTTTAATGTTTAAGTTAAATCCTGTATATCTATAATTATTTCAATTTTAATAATCACCATAATTTTTTTTATCATAGTATATTAAAATCTTTTTAAAGTTGTAAAATCTAAATTAAAATTTAATTCAAAATCGATATCCCAACTAAGTGAATAAAATGAATTTGTTTGATCCAAAATATCAATTTTGCAACTCATTGTGGGACGGAGAGAGTAATTATTTAGAGGTTTTTCCTAAATCATTGCTAACAAATGATTTATGGACAAAATTGTACAACCTTCGTCCCGTTGAAATGTTCCCGGTTTGACCTACACACATATTAAGGAAATAAACTTACCAGGGGGTAAATTTTACTGTTTTGACACTGTTTCGACACTGTTTGGCATTGTTACGACACTTTTTGACACTGTTTTGCATTGTTTGACCCTGTTTTGATGTAGGTTAACTTTCCATTTAGGGAACTTTCCAACGGGACATCCAAAAAAAGAAAGCGGGAACATTCCAACGGGACGGAGGGAGTAACTATATAGGCACTCATTTAAAATTTGAATACAATTATATTCACTAAAGTTACCAGGGCCAAATTTTTTGGCACTACTTTTATTTTGATCATATATTTGAAATTATTTCTATTATTTTAAAAAATAAATATTCTCTCTATCTTGTTTTGACTATCTTACTTTCTATTTTGGGTTTCCCCAAAATGAATGTCATATTTTTTTAGCAAGAAACATGTTCATACCTTTCAGCTTTATTGAACTCAAACATAAATCTCAACTTCTACTTTGCAATCACTTTATTAGTAATAGTGTCAAACTTAAACAAGACATTCAATATGGAAGGGAGATAAAAATAATTACTCTAAATATTAAAATAATCATTTTCAACAAAATCAATTAGTTAAATTGGAAAATTAACTTTAATTTACTTATTTAGTTATTTTCATTATTACAAAAATATTAAATTAAAATAATCATTTTCAACTAAATAAAAGGTTAAGTACTTGTATTTGATAAAAGAAATAGAAATTGTTCTAAGTAGGAGCAAAAACGTTTTGAAATTCCAAAATATAAGTATCATGTTTTTTATTGCATGAATAGAAATAATGTGCCTAAGTTTGGAAAAAAAATTCATTCAACCAAACGTGGGATGCGGGTACACGTACTATTGGTATATACATACAACGTATAATGTGTGTGTATATAGCTCAATTATTAGCTTCCTCCTCGTGAGGCGAATGTAAAGAAGTAGCTATATATATAGCCCACATATGTATGTATATATATGATGTTGGTAGCTTCCTTAATTAATTTCTTCATCTGATTTCTCTTATTTTTATTATTATATATACTCCAATCGATCCGTATATTTGTCTTACTAGCTAGCTTGCTAGCTCAGCTTCCGGCCGGCCAGTTTGAGAGTTCATTTTCCGATCGAATTAAACCCCGGCCTGGCCTGAGCAATATACTGGTAATGGATCAAGACTTGCGCTTCTATGTTGGAATTATAGGTATGTATTTATGTAATGTAATTAACATACAGACCTGAGCTTCACTCCTTAATTACTCTACTCTATACGGAGTATTAATTATTAAACACTAGCTCGATCATTAATTCTTCCTATTAGTAATTAATAAATTACAGAACGTATTAATTACGTACTCTGTATTTCTATCAATTTGCAGGATTTATCCCCTCCATTTTCATCTTCTTCTCCCCCGCGTAAGTTCTTAATTTCCTAATACGCACAGCGCAAAGGACATAATAATCTCCCATGATTTGTTTGCATCTTTTTCCATGTCTAATTTTCTCTCCTACTTTTTGAATGTTATTCATTACCTTAACGGTATTAATGGTTCTCAATCACTACGTATAAAAATGTTAATTGGAGTTCATTTAAATAAAAACTGCTCTCAATGGGAGCAAAAACGTTTTGAAATTCCAAAATAGGACCTTCATGTTTTTGTTCATTAAATAGTAGTAATTCTGCCAAGTTTGGAAAAGAATTGATCAAAATTGTCGTGTTTAAAGTCTGATACTGTCAAATTTGACAAAAATGCTTTTATTTAGGGAATAATAACATAAGAATCCTATTTTGGAAATTTCAATTTTTTTTTACTCCTATTTAGAGAATTATCTCTAATTTAAATGAGGTACAGAGTGTGTTGACGATAGTGAAAAAAATATACTATGTTTATGAGAGCAGGGAAGTATTTAGGAGGATAGTAAAGAAGAGATGCACAGAAGAATTTGATAGCATCCCCTATATCTCTGCGTTGCTGTGTTCATCCCTTTGGTGTTACTATGGCATCACCAAACCTGGAGAGCTTAAGGTTTTTACCATTAATGCCATAGGCGTCTTCGTCGAGTCCATTTACGTCTTCATCTTCCTCATCTTTGCTCCTCCAAAGATCAAGGTACCTTCCTATATACTCTAGTACTACGTATATATGTCCCAAGTATATACACATAATATGCATATCAAAATATAATAGATGTTTTTTTGTCAGTGAATCAATGTTCACGGACAAAAAAAGTTTCACAAACATGGTGTGTATAACGTGTGTACAAGGGTGTGTACATCAAGAATGATCGTATACATATTAATAAGAAAATTTCTATTGGTAGACAAAAAGTGTACACATTTTGCACACTCTCCTATGTGTTCATGTATCTCGTTTTGGAAAGAACAAAAATTGCCTGTGTACACAGTCAACTGCACAAAATTTGTTAATCCCGAGGTTAATGATGCTTATTTATAATGTTTGCAGCGCAAGACAGGCGGACTGGTCGGCTTTCTGAACATAGGGTTTGTGGTAGCGGTGGTTTTGGTAACGAAGTTGGCGCTTCAAGGAGCTGCTCTGATAAATGCCATAGGGTATCTATGTGTTGGATTGAACATCATCATGTATGCCTCCCCCTTGGCTGCAATGGTACGTACGTACAACATTATATAAATAAAACAAGGTGACAACTCTGGTACCCATTTAAAAAATGAGGTATCGTACCTACCACTTACTTGATTGGTTCAAATCATTACATCATTTTTAATTTAGATTTAAATAATTCAATCACATCATTCTGATTGGTCCATGTGGACAAAGGTATGGGTACCTTAAGGATATCATGGAATCTACCATAAAATAATACCACTTTAATTAAACAAAGATTGCATTTTGTGATTGAAAAAAAAACTATTCATATGGGCTTTTTTATTTAATTTCTTCCCTGGCTCACGAGAAAATTAGTAATTGTAATTTTGTTGTTTTACCAGAGGACTGTAATGAGGACGAACAGCGTGGAGTTCATGCCGTTTTACCTGTCATTGTTCATCTTCCTAAACGGTGGCGTTTGGACGTTATATGCTTTCCTAGACCATGACTGGTTTCTTGGGGTAAGTTTTTTTGTTTGTTGGTATCATGTTTATTTTAGATACTATTTCTCTTAATTAGTTTATTTACATCTTTTATCTTCGAATGCGAAAGACCGAGTTAAACACATAGAGAGAAATATATTTTGCAATAAATATAATGAATTTTGAACTCATATCAGCTACAACTACATAAAATGAAGCTTTAATTTACATATTAATAATAATAGAAGTTGCTCTAAATAGGAGCAAAAACTTTTTGAAATTCCAAAATATAAGTATCATGTTTTGTATTCCCTGGATAGGAGTAATCTGCCAAGTTTAGGGAAAAATGTCATGTTTAAAGCCTAGTAATGCCAAACTTGGCAGAAATTCACTCTTATTCAAGGAATAAAAATAATGATAGTCCTATTTTGTAATTTCAAAACTTTTTTACTACGGAGTACTATTTAGGGAATTCTGTCTAATAATAAATGTTAAATGCACACAAGTAAATGAGCCTATGGGCGAAACCCTATAACACATAGGGAAACATGGTATACTAGAATTCACTCTAACCTTTTTTTGATAACTTGTTATCAAAATATAACTGTTTACAATCCGCTGATAACTTGTTAAATGACTACCAGCGACATCAAATAATTTTTATTGATGTTATTGGTGTTGTTGTTGTTGTTAATATTATTATTTTTATTATTAATATTATTATTTTTTTTTATTATTGTTGTTGTTATTGTTATTATTATTGATGATATTATTTTGAGATAAAAAGGTACATACGAAGTAGTATATATTTTAATATATAATGCACAAAAACTTGAACCTTCTTGATATGACTTTAAAAAAACATTGAAGAATATTTAATTTTATTAAATGCATGCTTGCATCGTTCTTTTTGTCTTATATAAGGAGCCTGGGAGGAGGTAGATACCGAAAGTAAGGCATGTGTGCGTGGGTAGTAAGGGGAAGTAAGAAACAGCCGAACCTAAACGCAACTTTTTTTGGCATTTTCAATTTTGGCTGTTTGGGACAAAAAGTCAAATGAAAAAGCCAATTAACCAAAACACCTCTATTAACGGTTTATCTGGTCAAAAAGCTAAATAGTGGTCAAATCAGCCAAAAAATGACCAAACACCCCAATGTCCAACATTTGCCTCTATTGTCGTTTAAATTTATTGGAAAAAAAATTAAATTTATTGAAGATATTTATAAAACGTGCTACGTATTGGGGGTGAGCATTTTTATTTATAGTTTGGTTTATTCAATTGGGGATGAAGCCGTTGATGATTCCGTTTTGGACACTTGGATTGAATTGGTTTGAAGTTTGATACCATATACTCGGTATATAATAAAAATATGTTCTTTGATACGATTTCATATGCTAATTACTTTGTTTATTTGAATATATTTGATCCAAACAGGGGCGGAGCTAGGGGTGCCCACTAGGTCATGGCCCACCCCAAATTTAAAAAATGCCAATATTTTTAGTGTAAAAAATATCTTATATTTTTTTTTCCAATAATATTCTTTGTACTGGTCCAGTCTGACCCATTGCCCTGGCTTCGCCCCTGGATCCAAACCGTATTACAAGCTGTTCTGTTCATCTTACGCTTATTACTTACGGAGTATTACTTATTCTTATTTTATTCAGACCAGATCAGATACTATTATTATTATTATTATTATTACTATTATTAAACGAAGTAATTATAATTATAATTATAATTATAGAAATAAATATTATAATTATGATTACAATTATAGTTATAGAAATAAATATAATTACAATTATAGTTATAGAAATAAATATAATTAAAAATATAATTACAATTATATTATAGCTATAATTATAATTAGTGTAATAGGTATAATTATAATTTTAATTGTAATTATTATTATTTTATCATTATGATTATGATTATAAGTATATTTATAATTACAATTATTATATAATAATTATAATAAGAATAATTATAATTGTAATTATAGAAATATTCAAATTAGATCAGATCAGAAAGATTCAGATCATATCAGAAAGATTCAGATCATATCAGAAGGATTCAGATCAGATCAGAAGAATTCAGATCAGATCAGAAGGATTCAGATCAGATCAGAAGGATTCAGATTAGTTAAGGTCAGATCAGAAAGATTTAGATTAGATCAGAAAAATTCATATCAGAAATCAAAAAATTTAGATTAGATGAGAAAAGATTAAGATGAGAAAAATTGAGATGAAATCAAATGAGAACTTACAAAATTCATATATACAACTTCTTATACTTTTCGAAACAAGAAAATGAAACAGGGATGGGACATGGGAGGACCACAGAAGATTTCATGGAATCCTAAAGTTATCAATCTCAGACCATGTGAATAGGCGAACTGACGACAAATTAATATGGAGCAATCAATTTGGTACTCCGTATTTCCTTTCCTCAACTCTTTCAAAAAACGTACTCCGTATGTTCATTTCATTACCCGGAGTATACTCTTTTGATAATTAAATATTACATATTTGTAACTAACATAAAAGTTATTTATAAAAATGCAAAGTTTTAAGTGTAGTAACTTTAAACATTGTAAATTATGTTCAATTTTATAATTAAGGAATCATGAATTCATGATACTATAGTTCTTTATTATAATCACTTAGAATCATATTTTTATAAATACATTTTATTTCAATAACATTTTTTGAAAGAAAAAAACTCTTTAAAGTAATAATGCTCCGATGTTTAAGTTCATACGATAGTATATAATTCTCAATTTCTTTATTAGTCAATTTGATCAATGACTGAGAGACTAATTAAAATTTGGATGAAAATGAGATGGATTTTTAATAAAAATACATTTTCTGCTTAGAATGGAACACAATAATACTCCGTAATTATATTAAGCCGGAGTAAAAAGAAACCAGCTATTTTAGAGGCCAGGCTAGAATAGTTTTTGTGGTTGGTTCATTTTAATTTGTAAATAATAAAATCCAACAACTTGGTGACCCGTCACATTAACTAATTAAGACATGTACATTGTCCAGTTCAATGATAAGACTTTTTTGGGAAATAATCACGAGTCCTACATTGTTGTTTGGTTTGGTAAGTCGCATTTCCCTGTCGGCCGATCAGTTTTACGTAGTACATTAAATTAGTTTAGAATGAGATTTGGCTTACATTTGTGTACACATTCTTACACACTCATATCTGTGAGTCATTTTTCATGTATGTCACAGATAAAACGTATTTGTCAAATATTCACCTCGTCCTTGAAAATGCTTCTAACTTCCCTTTTTCATCCGTCCCAAAAAGAATTTCATTTTCCTTTTTTTGGTAAAGAATTCGTGGTTCACAACATTTCTCTCTTCTGCACAACTCTTCACCACACAATTTTCACTTTCTTAATCCGTTTGCCACTTTATTTTCGAAGTAAATTATGGGACGGAGGTAGTACGTTTTGTCTGGACAGACATTAAAAAAGTCTTCATAAACATGAATGTGTAATAATGTGTATCAACATCGTGTACCAATACATTTTTTCATTAGTTTATTTTATGTTTTTGTTTTGCAGTGTGTGTCGACAGATTTTGCTTACCAATTGAATAATGGGCAAGTCCTAAAAGTCGATATGCTTACATTGTAAAATGTAAATAAGTTCACTTTACTCACAAGTCACATAAATATGTTTTTATTTCCATTGAAGTTTTTTAGTATTGTCCAATGTGATATACTCCGCATTTGTTTACATCTAGTGCGCTCTAGTTTAGCTTGATTAATATCTAGTGTCAAATGACAAAAGTCTGTATTTTGTAATGATAGAAGTTCGTATTTTGTATAGTTTACTGCGGAGTATTATCTAAAACTTTAATTTAAATTTCATCTGATATGATCTAATCTTTCTATGTCTAATGTGATCTAACGATTTAAGTTTAGTCTGCTATGATTTGATCTGTCTAAATCTAATATAGTAATTTCATAATTTGTAATTAAGTCATTTTCTCTCCATGCGTGATACTCCGTATTACAAATTGGTTTAATGCTTCCCCCACGTATTTCTCGGAGTCTTGTGCTTGTCTCAAAGACTATTAATTACGGAGTATTTTCTTTTTATTTAATAATTATATTGCTATTTCATTATAAAATTCAAGTTTTTCTATATTGTATGTATAATGTGTAGTTTTTAAGACATATACGAAGCATTAGTTATTCAGTATTATTTTATATCAATATGATGTGAGATAAATACGTCAACGTACTTTTCGAGTCAAATCGAATTAGGCTAGACATGAGGTGGATAAATTATTGGGCGGGTCCCTAATAATAGTGCCAGTGGCAATCACTATTGGTGGTTGTGGCCACTAGCGATTGTGGTTATTGTGGTTGTAGTTATGGATCAACATTGGTCACTTTGCAATTATATGTTAGGATTAGGATGAGGCACAATGAGTGCGACATCCTAATATTTTCAATCATTCTAGTGTATACGATGACAACTTACTCATCATTTTTTTCTGTTTACAAGCATTTATTTTTCTCTTTGTAAAGATATCTGCTTGTAACTGCGAAAAATGAATTATTTGTAGCACATATAATATTTACTCTTTTCGGGACACAACACTTTCCTTTACTAAAATGAAAATCAGTTGTCTGCGCACAGATAAAAACACTTGGCGTGTACAAAGCATTTTCAATAATTTTTTTGAGAAAATGTTGTCAAAACAACTTGTTGAACCTCCTAATGTAAAAATGTCCTTTAAAGAGATAACACATAAAAGTAAATAAATATAATAAATATCTCATTTTAATGGCCTTATGAATTATTGATAAGTTGATAACTTTTCATCCGCAATGTCAAGGTAAACATCTACAACAACAACAACATCTGAGCCTTACTCTCAAAAGAATTTGGGGTCGGCTAACACGGATCGATCTATGATATCGATACCAAAAAGAGAAGACGGACAAGAAAGGGAAGGAAAAAAAAACTAAGATAAAATGAATAAAATAAAAATAAATAAATACTCCTTATAAAATAACAATAACACAAGAATATAAGAAAAATAAAAGATAAAAAATAAAAGAGCATAAAAAAGCTAGAAGATAAAAATAACATAAGAATATAAAAAGATAAGGAAGATAAACGATAAAAGAAAAAAGAGAGGAAAGGTAGAAAAGACATCAATCGTCCACATGGATGTGCGTCATCCACTTTGCTCTCTCCAAAGACATATTTTCATCCAACTCAAAGGTAAACAGCTAAATAGCAAAATATCTCATTGATATGTATCTATATGACTATATTTTCCATTTCACATATGCATCACACATATTATTGCATTGAAGATATTTATAATTAAGAAAGTGCTCTTCGGATCATATCCTAAATATTTAACAACAGCTGTGTTGTACACATACAAGTAAGAGTTTTTAGACAATTTTTAAATAGTAAAAAGATTACAAAGAATGACTTACCTTATAAATATGCACCGTACTAGCAAGTCACTTAAATAATAATGGGTTGCAATTCAATTGGGAGTAACATTTAAATCTGTAAAGTACGCTGGTGACTGTAGCTCAGGTAGATAGGGAATGCTATAAGAGGTAAGTATCGAGTTCGAATCCTCACGATCGCAAGAAATTATTGTATAAAAATGCATAGCACCTCTGCAAATACTTGAATCATAACCCACTTGATCGATTAAACTCAATTTACATTCTCCAAATTAACTCTCCCTTTTAAATTGTAAAGTGCCTTTGGTTTTAATGAAAAGAATAACATATGTTTGCAGGTGCCAAATGGGATGGGCTTCATATTCGGAGCAGCACAGTTAATACTTTATGCCATTTACAGTAAGTTAGAAAAAGCAGCCAAACATTCCACCGCTGTATTCGAAGACTACACGCAAAATGAGCCCCTTATTCACCCTTCAAATCACTACGGAGTTGTTGTTCAAGTATAGACTTGTATTATGGATGGAATTCGATGCCAGAAGTTCAACCAAAACTATATGGAGTGTCTGCAAATATTGTTACCACGATAATAATAATCATTGTTAATTTGTTATTCAATCTGATGGTTATTATATTTTTGTAAGATTACGTACATTGTATTTAATTATTTATTTGAACAAAGTGTATCCTATTAAATTTATTTGCTACTTTGTTTTGGCAAATTTGGTTGGATAAGTATCCTCACTTGATCAAACAAAATCAACCTTATTTTATACGCAAATTATACTCTATGACCGGCATACCATGTGCAAGGTATGCATGGTCCAAATACGGTACCGTTTTTTATAACAAACGATCATTTAATTTTGCACACTTCCACTTTCCCACTTTGGTTTCTTTTGTTCTTCTTCATTTTTTTACTATTACGGAGTATTTGTTTCTTTTATCAAAAGCTCTCTCCCTCCAAGTCACAAACACCCCCCCATCCCGTTTCTTTTTTTTTCTTTTACGGTTTTTACTTTTAATGTTTTAATTATCAAAAGCTATCTTGTTTCCAAATGATTTTCTTAATATACAGTGTGTATTACAAATTTGTGATCAAAATTTCATCCTTTCAAAAATAAATTAATTATTTTTTCTTTCTGTCTTAGTCCTTATTCATACATTTTTTTTCTTTTTTTCTTCAATTGCAATTACAACCAATTTTTTTTTGTATTCTTCAAAATAAATATTTTCTTCAATGTTTTTTCTCCTTACATTCCATTTTAGACAACTTACATATCAACTTGATTCAAGTTACATTTCCTATTACTGCTACGGTTCATCCGTGTTTTGCCCCTGGGAGCAGGGGCGGACCGTAGTAGAGACCCAAGGGGGTTAACGCCCCCCCAACAGAAATTTTTTTAGTGTATATATATACGAAAAATATATTTTGCTCTCCCAAAAAGTATTTTGAACTCCCCCCAAAATATTTTCACCCCCAACATGACTTTCCTGGGTCCGCCCTTGCCTGGGAGCATGATGGTCATAGTGCACAGATACCACCGTGTACTAACTCTATTTTATGGGACATGGTGCAATTGTTTAGGAAACTTATTGTAGTTGCAGCTAGTGTAGGGACTACTATCCATGCATTTTGGGTCCAACAAATTCTAGAGACAGTATACTACATTACTACGTATGAATTTGTATATGTAGAGTGAGGGAGTTGGAACATTTTGAGTTTGATTATGTGTGTTTTTTAGTGTTTATTTTATACACATGCACCCATATGTATATATTTAGAAGAGTTCATATAGAAGAATTGCTTTAAATAGAAGTAAAAACATTTTGAAATATTAAAATAGGAGTAACATTTTTATTTCCTATATAAGAGCAATTACAGCCATATTTAAAGCTAGTAAAATTTCAAGAAAATTCCTAATTGTAAAAAAAGTCCTACAATATGAATTTTCCTTTCATCTTATTATAATGATAATGATTTCATTAATGAAAATTTTCAATCTATTCCTTTTAGGTTTATATTACTACATTTAAAAGAGAACATATTTACGATCAAGAATTTAAGAGAAATATACTTTCTTAAGATGGAAAAACATTCTCCAGACAAGATTACAAGTTTACAACATACAGCTCATGTATATATAATATAATAGTGTAAAGTTGCTTGGTAATATTAAAACTACATTCATATATTACAGTATCTTAGCTACACTAGGACATGCCTAAGCAGCTTGCTCTTGCAGCTTCCTGCCAGAAAGAAATCCAGAGGCTACCGCTTCTTCCTTTCCTGGCAGATCGTCTTCATCGAGTTCCATTTCCCTGAGGTTTCGAACAAAATTCGTGAATGAAGGAAAATGTTCAGGTGAAAAGAAATACACCCCCATCCGTTGGTAGGTGAACAGGCTGATTCCTGAACCATTTTCGCCCTGTAAGTTCTTCTTCATCTGTTCAAAACTGCTGGTAGCATCTGAAGCCCACGAGTTCTGGCCCATGATCTCAACTCCGTGTTTTCGGCAAGACGACATGATCTGTGCAAGTAAAGACTCTGGACTTGAGAGGCACTTGTTTGGTTGATGCTCATCACACAGGTTCATTCCAGGCAAGATCACTTTGCAGGAGTTCGCGGAAAACATCTCAATCATCTCATCATATCCATCTCTGTGGATTGTGTTGTAGATCCCAGCCGTCAGTTCTGCTGGGTGGGACCGTGTTTTGAACCAGTGATGCATTAGAGGAACTTTTCCGGAAACCGTAATCGGGGAGTCCCTGAAGGTAGTGGAAACAAGGGAGAGGAGTCGGTCTCCATGCGCGATGAGCTGTTTGGAGTACCAGGAAAGGAAAAAATCACCATAAGTGCTCTCCCATGATCCTCCAAGCTCTTTGAAGAAGTTAGTTGATGAGGTTGGAAGGTCATTATAGCTCGGAGCATCATGGGGACCACCAAGTCCCCACAAAGGGTTACCATTCACTTCTGCATGCTGCTTCAGATGGGTTAGCATGTTCTTATCATAACACTGGAATTCCCCAGCTCCAATAAGCTGCTTAGTGGTGGTAGTCTTGGATGCTTCGTCGTGATGAGAGGGATATCGAAGCTCCCCATCTGGTCCAAAACCGATTGATATTCCCTACATAATATGAAGAGTTAATAGAATTCAAGAAAGGTTAGAGATATACAACAGAGCCAAAAGTAATTGGACCAAATTAGTAAATCACACTAAAAGATTGAATACAATCAGTTAGCCTGTTCAATTCAAGATCTTATCAATCCATCACCTTCTCTTTACTTTTTTTAATGTGGGATGCTAATATTCCCCCTCTCAGGTAGATAACTTAGACCATTTTGAAGTTAACCGATTGGTCACTTTTAAATTGGATCCTAATAGTGATTTTTCTATAGGAACATACTATTTACTACAGAATGATTGTCAGTGGCATCATTTTGGTGAAATTTTCGCTGGAAGTTATACATTATGGTGGAAAAGTTTTTAATGTGATAAAGCTCATTAGTTACAGGATATGATATGCAAATAAGTAAAATTACGAGACTAATAATGGATTACGGATATGAACAAAAGTTAAGCAGCTAAATTACTATATTTCTCCTAATAATAGTGCCAGTTAGTGGCAATCATTGTTGATGGTGGTTGTGAGCACTAGCGGTTGTGGTGGCAGTGGTTGTAGTTATCCACAATGGTTTTAATTTGCTGCAATAATGAATGTGTAGAGGCAATAACGGTTACATTTTCAATATGTTGGGATTAGGATGGGACATGACGAGTGGGGCAAGTAAAATAGCATCAAGCATACGACTAGTAGTTTTAAGAGAAAGTGTTGCAAGTCAATTCACAGGTGCTGTTTGGAGCAGAGTAAGAGCATGGATTGGAATGCCTAGACAGATGTCTACATTGGAGAGCTCGGTTAAATGGATCAAGAAGGACCATGGAGGCGCAGGGATCAAAGCTAAAGCAGTTAGGATTGCCTTCATCTATACCGTCTATTGGCTTGGAATGTTTTTGCTAGGATCAAATACATGGTGTATAAGATCCTTTACAACATTTACCCACACGAGCTCATTACTTTTTGATACTTTGATGCCGTCGAGTTGGCTCGTCACCTTTTTTGTGTTTGGCCGTGTGTGATCATCTTGTTTAGCTTTTGAGGTGATGGGTTATCCTTTCTTGGGATAGCCCCATTTTTTGTTCCCCTGTTGATTACATGTACATAAACTCTTTTGGATGACTTACCCTTTATCCAAAAAAAATAGAGAAAGTGTTGTAAATCCTGAAGGATAACCAGACAAATAAAGTCGGCTAGAATCTGCTTTGGTAGCAAAATTGAAGATTGGGTTGGTATCACTCAACTAGGGGTACAACTGTACAACACATTTGGATCAAACCACAATTCTTATAGAACATTATTTTCTTTATTTTTTCATGTGGGACTCTAACAAATGTAAAAAGATAGCAAGTCTATAATTATTAACACTATCCTTATCATTATTATAAATGCAGGATTTTGTTTGTTAATAGAAATGAAGTGAGAGGAGTAAAAAATCCTCACAGTTATTGTGGAATCCATGAACTTGGAAAAAGCACTTTTGAAGCTATCAAGAAAACCTCGGTACACTTGCAGAGGAGTTTTTCCATCAAGAACGGGAAGATCATCAACAGCTAAGGACAAGCACTCTTTGTACTGGTGTCCTGAACGATCTGTATAGAAGATGCTAGGATCTAATTCACCAATTCTGCAAACCCAATCGGGAAGTGAAATTTTGGGTTCCATGGAGGGTGCATGGAAACAGAATGAGACGTGAAGCTTCATGCCAAGCTTCTGAATCATTTCAGTGACAGCAAGGTAGCCGGTCCAGTCATACTTCCCCATAGCTTCCTTCTCAACAACACCCCACCAAATTGGCAGTTCCACACCATCTACTCCAAGTAACTTCAGAGCTTTTAGACCAGTGGCAATAGCTCGTGCGTGGTTTACTGTACGAGAATCGGAGACTGCATCAAGTGGCATCCCAACATATAGTTTCAAACCATCAATCTGCAAAAGCATTTGATTAGCAACTATATTTATCATTTAATAACATGACATGCAAGTGAAGATCTGCATAATCTGTAGATTTAATAAAAGCGCAAATGAGACAAAATCCACAAGTCTACCTCACCCCAAACAGGAAGAAGGGGAGTGACTGGGTATTTAACACCCTTGGGTGGAAATGCCTTTAGTTGAAGTGTTTGGTTACTCAGTAAGAAGTACTTTTTGGTGTATATGTTAACTACTACGTACAATACTATACTTGTAGCTTTGTTAAGCAAAATTCACAGAAGTGTTTTTTAAAGCATTTGCAAGCACTCTTCAGTGTATAAATAGGGATACAACAACAACAACAACCAAGCCTTGGTACCAAAAGATTTTGGGGTGGCTAACATGAATCAATTCATGATATCGATGCCAAAAATAGAAGACAGACAAAAAGAAGAAGAAGAAGAAGAAGAAGAAGAAGAAGAAGAAAAAGAAAAAAAAAAAGATAAAATGGATAAGATAAAGATAAATAAATACTCTGTATAAGATAACAATAACATAAGAATATAAGAAAGATAAAAGATAAAAAGATAAAAGAGCATAAAAAGCTAGAAGATAAAAATAACATAAGAACATAAAAGATAAGGAAGATAAACGATAAAAGAAAAAGATAAGGAAGATAAACGATAAAAGAAAAAGATAAGGAAGATAAACGATAAAAGAAAAAGGTAATACCAAGCGCTCATTAGCTTAAACGATTATTGAAGTTCATCACATAAAACGCCACATAATGTAACTACTAAAGGGTATAAGGAGTTTTCATTCTTAAAGAGATAAAAAGTCTCCTTTAATTATGCATCTTGCAACTGTAAATTCAATTGTATCTTCAAGACCTTATAAAAGGTTACGAAGGTAATTACACAATCTTATTCATGAATTATTGGAAATTTGGAATATAAAAACTAAATAGAAAGAGTAGTATCGTACTAATGACCAGGTATAAGCTCCTCCACAATCCGGACAAAGATAATATAGGCACAAAAAGCTGATTAGGATACTTGCATGCGTGATACTGTCCTAAGTTATTGGATTACAATGTACTCCCCTGTCCCGAAATAATTGCCTTGTTTTCCTTTTTAGGATGTCCCATAATAATTGCCTTGTTTCCTCTTTTGAGGATAATATGTGGCTCAGATCAAGTCACCTTTTTTCTACTCAAATCTCAACAACAACTTTTATCTTTTCAACCATTTTCTTAAACCATGTGCTAACGCAAACAAGACAATTCAGAGGGAGTATCTGCTAAGCTAAGCTGGCTGTGTGCACAACAGGTGTCCTTTCCCTTGTTGAACAGTCTTACAATAATTGGTGACCAACCGGATGACGAGTTTTGTCCTCTTCGTACTTGCTGAATCTTTGGCGCTCCCCAATCCAGTGCATGTGCCCCTCGCACTCATCCGGATAGGAGTGATAGGTGATGTGGACATGCAAGGTACTCCCCCTCAGCCTCGGCCGTGTCCCACTGAGACCAAGCCTATAACCTGGTCTAGAATCACCAGACTCAACTTTTCCAGATCCGGTCCAAGGATATATAGGCCCACTCTTTAAGAACAATTGAATGAAAGAAGAAAGCCTAGGGGTCCAAGTCCATATATTTCATTACTTATTTAGGGAAAACTGGAACAGAAAAAGTTGGGCTCCAAGTTTAGAAACCTTTTTTCTGTAACTTAGTAACAATCAAAATACGCCCACTCAACTGTTCTAAGAGACATAGTATTTCATTTTTAAAGGTTTGAGCTTTCATAATATTTCACTCAAACAACTCCACACATGCTTCAAAAACAATGGAAAAAAGACTAATCCACATGAACTTATTGAAACTGATACGATTATGTTGTATCCGGAAACAAAGACTAAAAGATTCAGTTTTTCCCAGTGGGCTTCACAAAATTCCTGGAAGTGGTTATGATGTCTTGAGACATTAATTGCCAAAGGTCACCCTTTCTTTGTATTTGGAAAATGGATTTTGATTATCATTCTACCTCTGCTGATTTAATTTCCAGATCTACGTAAATATAGGGACTCTACGAAATAGTTCAATCTGATTCACTTTACCAACTCTAAAGTGCTGATTCACTTTACCAACTCCAAAGTGACAGCAAGCATTTTTGAAGGAATCTGTTCTCCCAACTGTACATATTCTGAAACAAAATCAACTCATCAAATTTTGATTCTGATTCCTATAATCGGAAAAAGAATTGTCTTGTTTCTTCTTTACCAAAACCATCTCATTTGGGTATGCTGCACTCAATTTTATAGCTAATTGCAGAGGACCACATACAGTTTTAGACCAAAGAGGTTTTTGAACTACTGTCTACTGATTCCTTTTCTATTCGGTCCAACAAAAGTGTGAAAAAGATGATATATATATATATATGATTAACTTTTCTCAATTTCTCATCCAACAAAGCTATATAACACTAGAAAAAGCTCCAAAAACAGAAAATACAAAGCTTTAATTGACAAAGCAAAGCTTGCTCTTTTATATGATTCATGATATCACTCGAGCGCTTAAGGAAATAAGGGGATGGACTTCGAGACAAACAACCAAAACCTACTCGGATGGTATGATACAAATCCAGGATTAGATTGATACCACTCAAGTGACTCAACCAGCTCATAAGGATACTAGTTCAAACCAAACTACAAAACTCAATTGAATTGGTTAGCCAGTTAGAGATCTTGTGTCTCTTCAATATACTATGTGGAACTCTAGCACTCACTTAGTCACTTTATCTCCAGTACAACAGATTATGCACGATCAGCAGGTTGATAACAAAATAGTGGCTTTTACCCAGCGCAGTTAAAGCAAATAGACTTACAGGTCTAGATCTCCTCGTTCCACAAACTTTATCAGCAGAAACAGCCTCAGTTAGGGCAGCAGCAGAGGCTTTGATGTTTAAGCAAGCTGATTTTCTTGAAGACCATGTAAAAGTCTGACCCAAACACACTTTTGATTAACTTTTCTCAATTTCTCATCCAACAAAGCTATATAACACTAGAAAAAGCTCCAAAAACAGAAAATACAAAGCTTTAATTGACAAAGCAAAGCTTGCTCTTTTATATGATTCATGATATCACTCGAGCGCTTAAGGAAATAAGGGGATGGACTTCGGGACAAACAACCAAAACCTACTCGGATGGTATGATACAAATCCAGGATTAGATTGATACCACTCAAGTGACTCAACCAGCTCATAAGGATACTAGTTCAAACCAAACTACAAAATTCAATTGAATTGGTTAGCTAGTTAGAGATCTTGTGTCTCTTCAATATACTATGTGGAACTCTAGCACTCACTTAGTCACTTTATCTCCAGTACAACAGATTATGCACGATCAGCAGGTTGATAACAAAATAGTGGCTTTTACCCAGCGCAGTTAAAGCAAATAGACTTACAGGTCTAGATCTCCTCGTTCCACAAACTTTATCAGCAGAAACAGCCTCAGTTAGGGCAGCAGCAGAGGCTTTGATGTTTAAGCAAGCTGATTTTCTTGAAGACCATGTAAAAGTCTGACCCAAACACACTTTTGAATCCTTCTTAAAAGAATAGGTCTTAGCATTGAAGGTTTTGCTAAAAGTACAAACCCCAACTACTCTAGACCCCAAATCTCTCCTTCCGAGAAGCACGTCAGAGCTTCTGATGATCGAAACCTCCATAGATTCAGCTCAAAAGGTGGAAAATAAATCAAATTCTATTTGAAACAAATATTCAAGATCCAGAATGTATTCGTAAACGGTGCAATCCTAGAGATAAATACTATTGGAAATTTGAAAAGACTGGACGAACAAGGTGCGTGAAAAGATTGAATCTTCGCTAGAGCTAGAAATGAGAGGATCTAGGAATGAAGGTTTGTTTGGATGATGACAAACTTTTGCGTGAGAAAAAAGTTGAATGGCGATTTCAAAGAGTGGGGCACGTGTTGTCTTTTAGGAGTAGGCCCAATCCGGTTCGGTAAATTGGTAAAATCCGTAATGTATCCGTGAGATTTTTAAAGGTTCGGTACGGTCCGGTTCTAAGGATAGAAGCGTTCGGCATCATGTCATTTCGAAACGGTACAAAACGGTACGGTACAATGTCAAATACATGCTAAATTTTTTGAACAAATTTTGCAATTAGTAGATATCATTACACCAACTAACTCACATAACATGTTGAAATAAATATAAGAAATTGCATACCTAGTACTAAAATTCACAAATATACAAATAGTGCAACACAACTAAGAAAAAATATAGCAAAACGATGACGCACGAGATAAATATCATTTTTAATTTACTAAGTTCATGTGAAAATATAAAACGAATATCATCAAATTGTTGAATATAATAGAAATGTTCAACGTTTTTCTTCTTCGTACTAGGTTAAATATTACTCCGTAGTTCTAATTTAATTTATAGTTGAACCTTGAGAACTAAGATTTAAACCATATTAATTGAGTTGTAAAAAATGCACAAACATGATACAACAAAAAGTCACGTACACTACATTACTAGAAATAAATAATCATTAATGATTTCTAAAATTTTAATATTGTTTCAATACATACCAAAATATAAGATAAATTATCTAAAAAGAAAAACTAACAATATATATATATATATATATATATATATATATACATATATATATATATATACATATATATATATATATATGTATATATATATATATAAACAACACATTTTAGATATCTTAGAGACACAAGAATACATACTTGGGGTATAAAATTGTTGGTCTAGATCTATTGATATAGAAAAATATAAAAAATTCAAATGCATTATTTACCAACGGTTCGATCCGGTATTTTTTGGTTCTCAAAATCTAGGACCGGTCCCGTACCCGTTTCAAACGGTACAATTTCGGTACGGGATAAAAATCTATAGAACCGTTTAAATACCCGGTATTCGGTTCGGTACCATTACAGGACGATTCGGTACCGGTTCGGTTCGGGTTGTATGCCCACCCCTATTATCTTCATGAAAAATGTTATGTGTACATTTGTACACAATTTCTAGATGACTTACCCGCATACAACATGATACTGAGGACACCTTGGCTACATCAAATGGGGCAATTTCATCAACTTATCATCAGGTTGTCAAATTCCTAACATTTTGGGGAGTGCAGTCCATTCAAGGCGACAGGACCGCCGCCAAGTCATGCTATTAGACTACCATGAAGCTGACCACAACTCCAACAACATCAGCATAGCAATTAAAGGGCGATTCCGTTTTGAAAGAGGAAGACGATGACAAAATTGAGGATATCATCATTGATCTAGAATATCCGAAAACGGGTCGTCCGCATCGGGAAAACCGTGTCGACACATCTCAGAGGCGAGCTCATTGATTTTCTCAAAGAACACAAAGACGTCTTCGCTTGGAGTCATGACGACATGATAGGGATCGATCTGAAGATCATCACTCAAAGACTGAATGTGAACCCGTCACATAAACTTGTCAGATAAGACGATTTGCTAGGAAAAGGAACGACATTGTTAATCAAGAAATCGAAATATTTCTACGTACCGGCAAAGCTCGAGAAGTGAAGTACCCTGACTGGCTTGCTAATGTCATCGTCGTACACAAAAATAGGGGAAGAAGAAGGACAAAAGGCGAAATGATGATTATGTGTCGACTTCAAAGACTTGAACAATGCGTGTTGATGGAGTATATGACCCAGGAATCCTCGACCCACATACTTCCACTAATACAAACAGGCCCAACAGGTCCAAATGGCCCAAATACAGCAGACAAGAGTCGAACAGCCCATGCTATACAAGGTAGGACCTTCGTCCACATGACCGAAGGCTTCATATTCAGGAAGTCGATCACACCTGGTCCAAAAACACATGGGAATCCAAGGCCAAAATTGTCAGCCTTCGGCATATGCAGTCTTCGGCACATACGTTAACAGCCTTCGGCACACCAGGTATAAACAGCTTTCGGTACATAAGGCCCCCGGGTATACACAGCCTTCGGCACATAAGGCCCCCGAGTACATGAAGCCAAAGGCAATCTCCTCGACAAGATCTCCTCTCCACATGCTCTGAATCACCGCATTAAATACGGTGTCACGTCCAACCACCGCATTAAATGTGGTGCCACAAGTTGTCCCGATGCCACCCCGGCTGAATTGACTCTCCACCGCTGGTAATGGACACGTGTACCCGCATTTATTGCGTCTAGCAATTATGGTTGCTATAAAAAGCAAGCCCATTCTTCATTGTAAAGCATCCCAGATCGAACACTTTGAGCTCATTTAATATACACCTACTCTCTCTCTCTTACTTGTTCTGACTTCTCTCTAGATACCCTTCAGCGGTATCCCCGGGATATACTATCTCTCATTTGGTGCTCTCGTTGAGAGGTCAAACAATCAAGTAAGAACCCTCCCCTGCGGAAAAATAAAAAACACTCATCAGAAGGGGAAGAACTTGAGGTCAATCCAAGACCCTAGAAGACATAAACCTGGGCATCGGTGAGGTTAACACCGCTGAAACCTCCAACAAGGCTCTCGAAGGCGAGGCCCTCGCTGAAATGAAGCAGGTCACTGCCGACCTGCGCCTTCAACCCAGAAGAACGCTCCCGATGCTCGTCTCGGGCTTGAGACCCGAAGGAAAGACCGAAGTTAAAAATCAAGTAAGCCCTCCGGTCCTAACCATCGATGTACATTCGGCCTTCTCGTCCTTCATCCAAATGCTCACCCAGAACCCTGGTGCCTTCGGGGCTCTGGTGCCGCCCCAGACGCACAAGGGGGAGAACGTCATTCCTTCTTCGCTACCTCTGCTCCCATTCGTGAACCCCATTATACAAATCGAGAACATTGGGGTCATCGCCCAGAACACAGCGTCCCTGGAGGTTCAGTCCCGGGACCAGCGCGGTGCAACCAGGGATAAGCCCCGAACCTTCGCCCTCGACGGGCTTGGAGGAGCGCATGATCATCGAGGGGTCCAAGACCACCTCGGTGGTAAAGTATTCAACAGACCTTAGGAGAGTGGAAGATCCGTTTCGAGTGCAGATGAGAGGTATCCCCCTCAAGACAGGGGCAAAGAACTATTATATGCTTATGACGCCAGGCACCAGATCAACCAGGCTCACTCAGCCCGCGTACAATCGCTTGGGGCGGAGGCAATGCCGAAGGATCATAGGGATGAAATTATTGAGGCCCTCCAACGTCGACTTGACGAGATGGAGGCCCGTCAGGCCTAGACATCATCCTCCGCCCATAGACGAATCCCAAGTACACCGCCATGTTAGCAAAGGTGGACGAAATGCAGAGGATGCTGGCTGAGGGCTCGGGGGAGCCTGTCATCCAACTTCGCACGAAGACGCCTTTTACCCCAAGTGTACTGGAGGCTCAGATCCCAGGAAAGTACCGATGACAGACCATCAAGCCTTATGAAGGGAAGACTGGTCCTCAGGAGCACTATAGTGGGTACCAAAATAGCATGATGATGGGGGACTTGGATGAGTATTTATGTTGTTGGTTCCTCTCCACCCTGGAAGGGCTAGCATACAAATGGTTCAACCGATTGCCCGAAGGGAGCATTGACTCGTGGTAAGAACTCGTGCAGCGTTTCCTAACGCAATTCACGGGAAGGCACCGGTCAGAGAAGCATTTCTCCCACCTATTGACACTAAGACAACAGAAGGAGGAGACCCTCCGGGATTTCTTGGAACATTGGAGGCAAGAGACGGACAAAGTCGACGGTGCCGATGACATGACGTTGATGGCTCTCTTACAAACAGTCCTCCGTTCCGGGAACTTCTCAAGGAGCCTCATCACCGAACCACCCCATGACTACATAAGGTCCCTTCAACGGGGAGATAGGTACGCGGAGGCCGAGGAGGTAGATAAATAACCTTGAAACCCTGAATAGTCCCAAAAACCGGACAACAAGAACCTTCGGAATTCAGGGGCTCCGCCTCATCCAGCGAAGGTGCAATCCCCCTTCGGCGATCGACCCCGGCATGGCAAAGCCAAGCCCAAGGGAGCCTACAAGAATTACCCGAGGGCCTGGGCACAGCCCACGCTCCTGGAACGCCCTCGAACCCCATTGACTCATCCCATCAGCATCATTCTGGACTACGCAGAGGAGAGGGGTCTAGTGGAGTGAGATTCCAGGGCACCTCAGGAGGTGTATGCCATCAATCCAAATGAACCATATTGCTGCTTCCACCATCACTCGGGGCACTGGACCGATGACTGCCACCAGCTGAAGGCCGCCATCGAAAAACTGGTAGAAAGGGGCCATCTGTCCCAATTCATCAGGGGTTTCCCTCATCAAGGCCCCCCACGAAAGCAAACGCCTGGATCAACCCAAACACCATTCCCCTCAGCGATCCGAATGGTAAGAAGTGGGAGATTGGAAACCTTAGTGAAGAAGAGGGCTACCAACATCTTCAAGAGAAGAAGTGCCACGTCCATATGTTCACCGGGGGCAACACAGGAGGAGACTCTGCGAGCCAAAGAAAGAAGTGGGCACAATCCCTTTACGTAGGGAAAGTCAATCGCATGCCCCCCCGCCAAGCGGTCGGGGGAGGAACCCATATTGTTCACAATGTTGATCTCCACCGAGGGTCTTTCCCTCATAGGGACGCACTTGTGATCCAGAGTGAAATCAACAATACCATCATCCACAGGACTTACGTTGACACCGGCAGCTCTGTCAACGTAATGTACCTCAGCACATTCAGGGAGCTGCATCTGAAGCGAGAATCCCTTCGGTCTATCCGGACCCCCTATCCGGCTTCACCGGGGACACCGTTGATTCCGAAGGGGTTATATCCCTCTCGGTTCTCTTCGGCGACGGCTCTCATAGAGCCAAGCTCGAAGTGGAGTTCATCGTCGTCAACCTCGACTGTGCTCACAACATTATCCTCGGCCACCCCG